ACATTGAAACCTGTACTTTAAAAGCATTTAAATGAGATTTTATGTGCTCTTAAATGGCATTAACTGTCATTATGAGTAATAGCTCAGCTGATTAAATAGTGTGGATACATGGTATTAGGGCATGACACTTGAATTTTCATGTTTTCTTGGTTTTTTCCAGTAAAAATAATTTTAAACAATGCAAAAGCAACTCAGTTCCTTCCTCCTACAAAAAAACCCTGTTCATACTAGTAAAATCCACTGTGATTTAGTGAAAAATATAGCACTGAATCCCCAACAGTCTGAAGAAAAAAAGTCTCACTCTTTATTCACTTTTGCAGGAGAAAGCTTTGCCAGTCTTAACCAATAAACTTTGGATTTCTTTCTAGAATCCACTTGCCTGTTCTTGCCCCTGAAGTCTCAAAATCTCTGAATCATACCCGGTATTTTCTCTCAATAAAGATAGTTACGTAAACATCTCTGCAGGGACCATGAATTCTACTCCCAGTGTACTGCAGCCTGGGGAAAAGGGCGCTTTTTTTTAGTGTAAAGCTGTACGTATGTTCAAATAGGAGAAGTAACCTAGATTAGTTGCAAACCTGGATGTCTGCACGACAGGATGCCTTCTCTAAACTACTAGAGCCTGGTCAATACTCTCTGCTATCATCGTGTCATGCTTAATTGATGGCAAGGTTAATTGTTCATGGTTCATTGAGAACTTAACACTGAGAAAAGGTGTAGCTGTAATAAACCCTACCCATGGAACTCCACATTGCGTTCCCTTTGTACCTCCAGCCTCCTGTGGTTGGTTCCATAGTGGTTTCATACCAGCATCTTCCAGAGGCAGATACTCCCCTGGGAGAAGAGGTCTCTAGCCTTGTAGCAAAAGGGAATCCTCTTCTATTTTCACACACTACTCAAGGGATGCAATTCTAAAGCTTCACTGATTGCAAACAAGGGGGCACCTGAGGCCCAGTCCATGTCTTTTGAAAAATTATGTTGTCTTGGAATGTACTGAAGGTTCCCTATTCCTACAGAAGTCAATAGAGGTTGGTAGTGTTCAGGAGCACTGAACATAGTAACATAGCAGCCCAACTTCTATTGACCACCTGAGAGGTAAGTTCCCGGGAGTTGTGTTGTTTCTGAATGTTCTCTGGAATTTTCGAACACAGTTTTGTTTGGCCTTGTTGGTACTACAGCAGTGTAAATACACCTCTTTTAAATAAAGCATTTTCCTAGTGTTGGGCTGAAAATACTCTGTAACAGAAAATCATCAGTGATGCAATATGAGAAAAATTGAGACCCAGGCTATCAAGTGCATATTCCTGAGAAACTCCATTTACCACTCGTAAATCTGTAAATTACTAAATCTGATCTGTCAGAAGTAATGGGGAGCTATGCCTTATAAGAGCAGTGGGTCAAGGCTGAAGAGAATAATTAGGCAGAAGCAGCCTTGAATTCTACAATTAGCAAAGGATATCAGTAAAATGCTACCCATTGACAGACTCAGTTGAAGGAAATAGGGAGTTCAGAGCTCAGGGTTGCTAATTCTTGATTGGCATTTGAAAACAGGGTCAGAATCAAAATAAAGGGTTTCAGCCCAGTTTGAAATCTATGGATTGTGTGTAGAAAGATTTTCTTGATACTCAGGAAGGTCATTTCTTCCATGTGTTATACCTTAGAGAAACTTTCAAATTATGTCAACCCAATCTCTATAATTGGTTGCTAGACTGAATCGTAATGTCAAGCAAACTCAGTGCAGTACACTCAGCAACTCCCTGTCAATAACAAATTAAGCTCACAAAGCACACCTTAACCTTCCTCCCAATTTCCTTCTGCTTAGCATCTTGGAGTCAGTTTTTCATCGATGCTCTCTTTCCCATGTAATCATTACTTCCTTCCCTTCCAGGGAATGAATCTCTCAGAAATCTCCCTTTTTCTTGAGCTCAAGACTGAGTTTCTCACAGATCATCTTGAATCCAGTGGTGCTATTCTAGAGCCTATTATTTTTTATGTACATCTGAACTTTGTTTTTCTGTATAAATTCAGGCTTGTTCTGAATGCAAAGGAAACCACTGATGCCACACAGATATTCAGTGAGGTTTGTAAAAAAGAAAAAAGTTACTTGGCTGTCATCCACCATGGTGTGAAGTGATCGGTTGTGGCTGTAGCAGGAGACGTGTAACTCATCAGAGACTTTTGTAGTAGCTCATATTCTATTGGTGCTGTAGGCCTCTAGGCCCGTGTACTCACTTCCCTAACTTTTTCTCATGCAGCTTCTTGGAAAGGGTATGGACATCAAGGCTGGCACCCTATTTTGGGTGCCACTTTACCCTGCAGTCATCCTGTTCATTTCAAGTTGAATGTGTAGATGTCAAAATCTCTTTGTAGCATTCAGGAACTAACTTGTATTTTCACCTCCTCGATACCCTGTTATTCAAACCACTCAGCTCTCAATTATCTGCCATTTTTATCTACAGACTAAGTATAAACCACAGCCGCTATCCATATTTTATTACCTGCAATTACTGGCATGTATGTTGTAGCTTGTTTCTTAATTAAATCTGTGATTTACATAGTCATTTGCCTGTGTTGGAGTTGTCTCAGAGGCTTTCACACTAGCAATAACTAACCACTAATCTGTGAAAATTGTTGAGTTAAAACACACCCAGGCTAATAACAGGAACTAGTCTTCATTTACTGGCATAAATGTAAATGTTTGTGAGGAGGACGAAAATTTCATTCATGTATGCCAGGTTGTGTTTCTACTACTGAGTTTTCCTGGGAATGTCCCTGCCATTGTCATGAAAATCTTTGCAGTTGCACCGCTTTCATTCTGGATTGCTTAAAATGACTTGACTGGTGTTGCTCGAGTGAATGAAGGCAGATTTTTTGATTCTCTGAGTCAAATTCTGCAGCCTTTGCTCAAGCAAGACTCCAATTAATCCTGAGGAGTTACAGGCTGTGTAAAGATGCAAAAACGCTCGAAGGAGGAAGAAAAGCAGAAGCCTTTAACTGGCTGTTAATTGTTATTTGAAACAGCCTTTTACACTTCTGAATCGTTACTAGAAAGATGGCACTGGATACCCCAGATTAATAAATGTTGTATCTTGGTTTATTTGCTTTAAAAGGAGGGATATTGGGGTTGTCTCAGTTGCAGAGCATCTCTCCATTAGCAAATACTCGTCATTTTCAATGTAGGTCTCTATCTAAAAGGTATTTACCTCTGAGAGAGCATTTTTGCCGTAGCTCCCCTCCCTCCTCCACCTCTTTCTCAAACACACAGGAGTAAGCCTGCTCCCCAGGAGTAAGCCTGCTCCCCAGGCAAAGCCTCTCTGCCTCTCCAGGACTACCTTTGATGTTGCCCACTCCTGGGAAGAGTTAAAGGTATATATTGCCGACTTCAGTGTCCATTTGCACTTAGTTTGCCATCGTTTTGAAGAGTGGCACTAGGACCTTGGCTACTTCTACGAGCGGTGAGCCTATGGCATTAAGCAGGGATGTGAAAGCCTCATGTGTCTTGAATACTCAGTGGATCTAATTAACAGGTAGAATCGCACCCTGGGTGCTTGAAAAATTGCCAGACACCATAGAAACGAGTCCTTAAGTCCCCGCACCATCTGCACTTTCTTTTCATTGTGGCAGTCTCATCTGCTGATGGTTTTCCTTTTCATTAAAACAAAAATCATAAAATTCTTTCGTTCAGTCATGGGAAGAAAAAAAAAACCCTCTCAAGCTTTGATGAAATAATGAATCTTTGGATGTGCCTCTGAATAGGGGTGGTTTGACTATCATCGCCCCAACCTCCTGACACGACTTTTTAAAGGAAAACGAAACAGACAGGAGCCGTCCCCCGCAAACCCCGCAGGCGGTCTGACGCCAGGCGAGCATTGCGTCATCACAGCCGCCCCCCCCA